CAACTATCGATTTTGAGTATACATAAAATCACCCCATATGCCTGTGACTCAACAGATTGCATTCACTAACTTGCTCAAAAAAGAATAAAAAGCGCTTATTAGATAGAATACGCAAATTAAAAAGAAGACAGGGGCGTACCTCCTAGAGGCGGTTTTACGGGGCTCACCGACATTGGCATCACCGACACAGAGGAAACAGGGAAATTAGAGACATGAGCAGAAGTAGAAAAGGCATAACTGATGACAGTGGGCTTTGAGGTGATCCGGTGAGAAAGAGAAGTAGGATGGGTGGAGAAAGGCTTAGGAACGGTGAAGGTGGAGGAAATCCTGGTTGAATGTGGTCTCTTGACTAGGACAGAAGAAGTTGAAATGAAAGATGTCTTCTCAGGGACTTTTGTTGTTGTTGGCTGTGTTGAAGGCGGAGCCTTGGTTGTTGATTTGATCAGAGGTGTGGCAGGCGTTGAGGTTTGGGTCAGTGTTGTCAGAGTGGTAGAGAATATGGAGCTTTGTGGGCTGGTTGTTGATCTATTTGGAGTTTCTTCTAAATCTGCAAGTGGAGAGTAAAACAGGTTCATATTTACTCATTTAGCGGATGCTCGGAATACACCTTGGTACATTTTTATATAAAGAATTGAGTATTACAATTGTAGAGTGTACAAGGGAATGCACAGTATACATTCAATTAATGAATTAATTAATGAATTAATTAATAAACTGTACCTGAGGCATTGAAGCAGAAGACACCAAACAGTTTTGTTGCACTTGCATACCATGTCACCACTCCGATTTTGCCCATTCCATATTTTTCGTCAGATGTATGTCGTGGAATAATTGCAATCTTTTCAGCTGTCCAGCCATATCTGTTAAGATAGTAAATAGTGCTGATAATAAGAATAATGGATAAAAAATAGGTTCACCTTAGTTTGTAATGAGTGTGTAGACCATTACTTTACAGGTTTTGTGGAGTATTACTGCATGTGTGAAAAACGTTGCATAAGACCTTTGGTAGCTTTAGAGGGAGCAGCACAAAATTTGAAATGCCTCAAGTACTATTACGTAGCCTTATGACTAACAGCTGGAGGCTAAGTTAGTCATTACTAGCATAACACACCCAAATCTCCAACTGAACTGTTGCATTGTGGATAATAATAGGTGTCAGGTTTTGACTAGGGAGGAAAACGCATTGAATAAAAAATACAATCGTCAAGGAGCGGAGAGAACAGCAACCAAGCTGCAGTGCAACCTCCATGCTGGCAAATGAAGCCAACACGGAAGTAACAACAAGTGCAGTTCCTTGAACGGCCACTTGAGGCTGGCTGCAGAATGGGCGAAGTCAAGTACCGCCAAGATTGCAACAGCCAGAGCTGACCACACCAGCTCTTCAGAAAAGTTCAAATCAGAAATCGGCTGGTATTGTTGGGCCTGATACGATGCACAGGGTTCAATAACAACAAAATCCACATAAGCATAATTTATTAATATTGGACATTTTTTACCATTTAAAATCTGTCAGCAGAAACAGACACTGCAACAGGTATCCTACCCCACCAGAACAGTCACCACATGCTTTCAGCCTACTTGCACGTCTCCAGTCCATGCTGCACTGCTCGCTCCATCTGGGCGCCATGGTGACGTTCAGAAATAGGCAGGCATCTCTGGCAGCAGTGAAGTTGAAGGTGTATTTTTCTCCTTCAATAAGCAGAAACACTCCAGCAGCCCTTTGACTCAGAGGCCCTGCTGACATTTTGTAAAAATACACACTTTAAAAAGCATTCAGCCCCATCAGCACATTGCGAGCTGATCAAGAGTTCTGCTACTAACAAACATATTCATTCTGGACTAAATATGAAGCTTACCATTACATCTGTGTAAATTCAAGTATTACAGCTTATAAAAGGGTTACTGTCCTTTTAAAAGCACTATTATTTGTGTTAAATATTTCAGTTAGATCACTTTAACCTACAGTATACACTGTACTATATACTGAAACTTCTACTATTACTCTGGGTACAAAAACAACAACAAAACATAATAATATTTCCACTTTTAACTCATTACAATATTTGATAATTTTTTACATTTCTCATGTATTCTTGACGCTTTAATCTGACTACTATTAGAATTAATTTGGATCGTCACATGAAAAGCAAAAAAGGGTGCAGAAGTTAGAGCCAGAGAGTCCTGAAAATATTCCTTTCCCCATAAAAGGTAATTGGGGAACATCTAAAAACTGTTTTTCAATTTTATGGCCAACATTCATGCCTTCAAATGTACTTACAAAATAAAAAATTGTAAATAGAATAGATAAATGTTCCTGTATTCAGTCTAAATGGTGCACCTACATCAGAAACAAACAGCTTACCTTTAATAAGACTGGAATCAGAGACCAACAAAAAAAGAAAAAAGTAAGAACTGAGTAAAAAACCCAAAATGTGCCATCGTTTTCCTAAAATATATATATATGTGAAAGTGGTTGAAAGAGAACCAAATAAAGCAGATGCAAAGGGAACAAATGTGATAGAGATGGGATGAGGAAACAGGAAACAGAGGTCAAATCTGCTTGATGCCCCTTTATGAGATAACACAGAGCACAGGACAACATATAGGAGAAAGACCTTGACAATAACTCACACACAACTCACACACAACTATTTAAAAATAAAAACAAATTGAGGATTTCCAGGACATATTAAAGCAGAAAGGCAGGAAATATCCCCAGCTTCACACTTTTCAAACTGGTGCTTTCTCTGCCGAATATGGATAAAGCAATATGTTTGAAAAAGGTTTTTTTTTAAAGGTTGTCAGTGGTTTGTATTTTTTCTGCTTTGTCAGCATTTATCTTCCATAGGCATGTTTATTCTGACAGGCTGGTCGGAAAGGGAACTTCCAGTCACAAGCAGGGACAATGTGGGATTGTCCCTGCTTGTGTCTTTTCTTTTTTTCTGTTTCTATTTCTATTCGCTTTTACTCTTCTACCATTAGTCAACAGCTCTTCTGTTCTGACATTTTCTGATGCACCACATTGCTCTGTGGCCTCTCTCCTTTTCACCTTTCAAACCCACACAGAGGAATGTGTGTGTTCCATGGTACGCATTGAAGAAACAACATGTAGCTGATGGCACAATGTCTCATCTGTTTGCATGCCTCAGAGTGGGTGGCATCAAACCTTCAACCCTGATAGTACTGGGGTTCATTCCTTTTATAAACCACTTTAAACCTTGAGTTTTGCTGACATTGCCTTGACTTCCTAATTTATAGGGGTCCTACAGGGTCCAATGCTATAGGTTTAATATTACTACTGCTACTACAAAAATTACTATTGCTACTTCTACTACTACTACTACTACTACTACTACTACAACCAACAACAACAGTTATTCATTATTATTAATAATTTCCCCTAAAAAATGTTTTTTTTTATTTGACCTTACCCATATTCCCAATGTGTGTATGCGCTATGTATGAACAAATATATTCACCCATCCTGTGTAAAAAGTAGCCACTGTCAGCTTTTTCCGT